AACTAGAAAATCTACAAATAATTTATGTCCAACTTCCACTAGCACAGGACTACCAACCCGTGTCGTGGATGAAAATGGGATTTATGGGCCATGCAATGTCATTCAGTCTCCAAATCAATGGCCAAGACTCAATTGTCATACTACACAACACACAATACTTAGCTCAGCTAGTAGCGGAGGGTATGAGGTTAGACATGAACAACTACCTCAACCAAGTATGGCTAAACAACATCCTACAACCCCTAGATCCCTCAGTAAACCCACAACTAGTGCATGCCTTGAGAAACCACTGGAATATACTACCCCATTTCAAACCAATCTACCCACAGAATGCTCTCCTAGACATGCCATTCTTTCCCCCAGAAACACTAACTCAACTCAATCTCATATTCATGCCGTGGGAGATCCCTCCTCTAGTCCAGGAGACTCAAATTCCCCAACCACCCCAGCAACCTCCGTCACCACCTCATCAAGCAGCCCAAAACCCAGAACCAGTAGAAGCAGAAATGGAGGAGGAAGAGGAACCACTCAACATAATCTTAGAACGAGTCCTAGAGTTCTCAAACCTAGACGGGGTAAAAATATATCTTTTTACGGAGATGCAAAAGAAGAGGCACGTACTCAACTGCCCACTAGCATTATAAAAATGCTAGTTGGACATCAGACCACCTCAGGATCCAACGGTGGGCAACATGGCAATGATACTAGTTTCAGCTTTGAGAAGGAACCCAATTCTGGGGATAGTAGAGAAAAATGGGGAGCCAGCAAATCCAAGCCTTAATGTCTCTATAAATCGTCCAACAAACATCATCATTTGGAATATACGGGGTGGTAACAACGAAAACTTTAGAAGGAATTTTAGGGAAATGGTCGACACTCACAAACCATGCATGGTGGCTCTGTTAGAAACTAGAATGGGAAATCATATTAAACTGCTAAATGACTTTGGCTTTACAGAGATGATAGAGGTTCCAGGTGATGGTCAGGCAGGAGGCATCGTGGTGCTGTATAACCACGAGGTTGTGACTGTCCAAAACTTAGTTCATAAGAATTAAGAAATACATACAACGATAGAGGTACTTCCTATACGTAAACTTTGGTTTTTTTAGTACAATATATTCTAGTACTGATATCCTTAATAGAAATATTATGTGGGAGAATCTGAAAAATATTAGTAGAAATTATATAGGTCCTTGGATGGTGGGAGGAGACTTTAACGATATTTTATGTGCTAATAAAAAATTTGGAGGCAAACCTCTCAACGATACTAGAGATAAGTTCCTTTGGACTAAGCTCAAAAGTTGTAAACTTATAGATCTTGGATTCAAGGGATGCAAATATACTTGATCTAACTATAGACATAAAAATAAAGGTCTAATAATCGAAAGATTGGACAAAGTATTTGGGAATGATGAATGGGTAGATTTATTCCCTAAAAGCTCCATAATTCATCTTCCTAAAACTTACTTGGACCATAACCTTATCCTAATTGAACTAATACCTAGAAATAGAACCTTACACAAATAACCCTTTAGGCTAGAAACCTTTTGGTGTAAACATTCGGATTTTGTGCCTATTGTTAAAAACAATTGGTCTGAACCTAACTACCTTAGAGCTAGCCAAAATTTCATGGATAACATTAGATATTGGAAAACAAGGACTTTTGGAGATATTAGGGGGAAAAAAGAAAAATTCTAGCGCGTCTGAATGGTATACAAAATTCGAAAAAATATCCTACTAGCACTTTCCTCCAAACCCTTGAAAGAGACTTAAAAAGAGACTATAATAATCTTCTAAGGATTGAGGAAGATTATTGGAAAATAAGATCTAGGGTAATGTGGCTAAATGAGGGAGATGCCAATACAAAATTCTTCCATATTTTTGCCTCAAATAGGAAAAGAAGAAACAAGATAAATTTTTTTAAAGATGATGCTGGAAATTGGATCAATGATCCCCTTTTAATTATGTCTCATGTCCAAAACTATTTTGCTAACATTTTCAACACTTCACACAGCAAAACAAGCAGGAAGAATCCACTAAACTATAGCTCAAACACTGGGCTATTAAAACTTAGTGCATTAGACAGACCATTGCTTTATATAGAAATTAAAAGGGTCATTTTTTCCTTTAAACCCTTTAAAGCTTCAGGGCCAGACGGACTCCATCCTTTTTTTTAATCAAAAATACTGGAACATTATAGGCCCTTCAGTTGTGAAACTATGTCATGACATTTTTAATATGCAAGTAATCACCCCCATAANCCCCCCCCCCGCCCCATAATTAACAAAACCTATTTTTGTCTAATCCCCAAAATTCCTAATGCTAACAACATTAGAAATTTCAGGCCAATTGGGCTGTGTAACACCATTTATAAAATAATCACAAAAATTCTAGCAAATCGTCTTAAGCCATTGCTTGATCACTTAATAAGCCTCTTTCAAGCTAGCTTCATGAAAAATAGAAGAGCTTCTGACAATGCAGTCATTATCCAAGAACTAGTTTCAAACTGAAAAAATTAAAAGGCAAGCAAGGTCACATGATTTTTGAAATTGATCTGGAAAAAGCGTTTGATCGACGAGAGTGGTATTTTGTCCATCAGACCTTCCAATATTTCAAATTCCATCCCAAATTCTCAAAATCTTATTAAATTGTATCTTTACAAGTTTGATAGCTGATAACGAGGGATTTTGACGTGTTTCATGCTCCTTCTTGCTTACGCTTTGATTATAAATTCTTTCAAAATAGTCCCAAAAGGCTCATAAGTTGTGCTTGATTGCAGGTTTGATCGACAAAGTGACGAAATATCAAAGATCGGCTCAAAAAGAGTGAAACCTGCTCAAGTACCAAAGATAAGGCAAACTAAGGACAAATAGGCCTAGTGCGGCCGCACTACACTTTGTGCAGTCTGCACTAGGGGACTCAGAGAACTGACAAATCAACCTTCAAGGCAGTGCAGTCGCAATCGATCTTGCACGGTCCGCACTGAAGGATCCGCGACCGCACTACCATTTTGTGCGGTCCGCGGAGGAGAAGATCAGAGAGATGTCCAGTGCCAACTTCAAACCCACGCGGTCCGTGATCATGTTTGTGCGGACCACACTAGTTGCCTCAGCGGCCGCGGTCCATTATGCGCGGTCCGCGGAGCCTGAGTTCAGAGAGCCAAGGCTTCAAGTCCAAGAGCCTAGTGCGGCCGCGGTCCGCACTGACCCCGCATGGGTATTTTTGTCCAGTTTTTCCAGCTTAATATAAATAGAATATTTTTCCATTTTTAGGGTATCAGTTATTTCCAGAACGAAGTTGCGCTCGTGAGAAGCTATTGTGTAGCCATTTTTGGCATCTTAACTTAAATTTAACGATAGATTCTATGTATTTACATTAGCTTTTAATTAATATGTCTTGTTCTTCATCTATTTCTCTATTTTCTTCTTCAAGCATGAGTAGCTAAACCCATTAGCTAGGGTTGTGGCTCAATCCACTACTAGAAATTAGGCCTATGGCAACGGTTCCAGAATCGTTCCAATAGATAGGGAAACCGTTGCTATTGATCTACTGTAACGATTCACTGACCGTTACAACAGCTCCCGTGCCAGTAGATGTACCACGACGGTTATATGCAACGGTTCCAAAACCGTTGCATTAGATTGGTCTATTGCAACGGTTTGCATCTTATTTATTGTAACGCTTATTTTTGTCAAATGGGACGGTTTGCAATCGTTGAAATAGCATTTGATACAATGGGTAGTTAGGCTATTGCAACGGTTTCATGATGCTATTGTAACAATTTTTATTTTTATTGCAACAGATTTATTAGGCTATAGCAACAGCCCAAAAAGGCTATTCCAGTAATATATCAAGTATATTACAACGGTCCATGGAACATATTGCAACAGTTTATAGAAGCAACAATATACCTTTTTTATTTGGCTAAATATACTTGTGACTTTATATAATAAAAATTAATACAAGGAATTCTATACAAATGTCGAAAGAGAATTATCCATAAACAAAATCATGATCCAAATTATCAAAAAGATAATATTCATAAAATCAAAAGATACAATATTGTTCGGCGATTCAAGATTTCGCACACATAGCTTTGCATAATATATAAAAATAAAAGATTCCTAGAACATTTGAAGTTTCAGCAACAGTCAACCAATACTCTCATGTAAAGTCTTTATTGTTCTTGTCTACCCTTCATTCATTTGCTCCACCCTACAAAAGATGATAAATAAAAAATATTAATATTCAAGTCCTAGTTGGAAATACCATTATCAGCAAATCTGAAGCTTATGAATAGAGGCTAGTGCAAATTTGATTGTATTTTAAGACAAGACCCAAAGCTAAAGATGCATGACATCAATATCCAATTGTCAATTCAGACCTTAAAAGTAATTCAACCATGCTTGTGGAAAATGACACAAGAAAATAAACTACATTTGAGAAATAATATAAAGAAGAACATGCAGATTAAATCCCTCAAACAGCTTTCTAGAATCAAATACATAAGTCAGGATTCTAATTTGCCAAAGTCCAATCTTAAATGTTTCAAATCTGATTATTTAAGCAACTACGCAATAGAATATTCGACCAAAACGCTAACTACAACATGTAATACAAACTTGATTGGTATCTTAAAAAACATTTATAGTTATAGCTATTCAAATTGGCAAAAGTTTCAAGTTTGAGATAAGAATAGAACATAGGACTCTGGTAACGAACTATAAACAGCATCCGAGAATGAAACAGAGGAAACCATCAAAAGGTAGGCATTTGAGCAATTTTCTATTCTAGAATCAGGCAGAGACAATTCTGTCTAGGATCTACATGATAGAACAGAGCCATACAACATCAGACAACTCGAAAACTAAGCTTAATTAATAAGAGCTAAATGTTATTAAACATAAATAGAACAAGGTAATACACAAGCAACAAACACGAAACACCAAAATGATTAGACAACTTACAGGATGCCAAGGATCAGCCATCAATGAGAAATGAACTTGGACAATAAGAGATTGTCGTGCCTGAACATGAAGAGTCAACAAACTGACGAGGCTAGATTACAAGGGGTGTAACGAAAGTCAAATGCTCCTTCAGCCAGCTTTCCATTCCCGTGAGCTCATGACAAGCTCGCATATAGCTAAATATATTAAAAAGAAATGGATGAATAATATTTTATAAAAACTTCATCAACTTAATATGGAAAATTTTCCTAATCTCTTTGTATTGCATGACTCTTTTTGGGCACGTCATTTGCTGCTTGCATTTGCTTATATTCCAACTCAGAATATTGTAATAAGTCAACTAAAACCAATTTGTATGTTAGTCAAAGGCTTTTGGTGGCCATTTATTGGAGAAAAGGTCATATGAAGCATCACCATGAGTTCTACAACCTATATTTTTCAGCAGATTGATCTACTCTATAATTTTCATAAGAAAAATTGATCCACTTCATAAATTTGTTGAAAAACACCAGCTACTACTACTTATTCAATCATAGGACAAAGAGAACTTTGTGAGAAAAATACAGATATGAACAAAACTAGTGATTTAGTTATGAACCACCTATTATAATGATCTCTAAATAGAGTTCCAGTAAATTACTTGAAAAACTCATAACTAAAAGCTAGAGCTGTTTATTTCTCAAACCCCAAGCATAGTGATAGGTCAACTATTGAAGTTGAGCCCATTGTAAATAGGGATAGCAAATGGTGAATCTATAACAATAGAATTTTTAAATAACCACAGTTCTCAGAAAAATACTTTCTAGCTGAGGCCAACAATATGGACTGCCAAACTAGATGCACTTAGTAAATTGAATTTAACATAGGATATAGTTGTTATTTGTAGAAGCTCATAAAGTAAATCGAGAAAATTCTATTGCATAAAGAAGCCCCAAATTTCGAAATCCCCCAAAATAAAGCACGCACATACACGAACAAACCAAAGAAACACTAAAATTTCAGAGAATCTCACATAGAAGAGCAAGAAACGATTCCAATAATTTCCCTAAACTAGAAAAAAAGGAGAAAGAAGTAAAGAAAAAATTGAAGAAGGTTCAAAATCAAGCAAATAGGTCTATGTTACTTATACCTTGGTATCTTCCCAGGATAGATCTATGTTCTATGTTCTTGATTTCTTCTTATAGCTTGAATATATTTCATACCGTATCTTCACAAGTTCTACGATTTACGCGTTCTCGTTCTCTTCTTCTACCTTCAAAGAAAAAATTTGGTACCTGCCTAAGGAGATCTTCTACTAACCCAGAATCCTTATTGCTTGATGGAATTTTCTCTTCAATGTTTCGATTGCCTTATTTAAGATGGCCAGCGCCTCTTCTGTGAGTTGTCTCAGAAATGGGGGAAGCGCGACTTTGAGCTGGAGAAATCAGAAGAGCCACATTAAAATGTTAAATTAAAACCGTCGGAGAGGAAATTAAGAACCGACACAATAGAGATATTTTTCCATAAAACCGTCCCTATAGATAAATCTATTGCAACGGTTCCCATACCGTCGCAATAGGGTTCCCTATTGTAACGGTTCTGGAACTAATGCAACGGTTTGGCTCCAAGACTGTTTCAATAGGACACAGCGTTATGCAGCGGGTATAACGCTTGCAGTAGATGATCTGTAGCAACGGTTATATTGACCGTTGCCAAAACAAGCATTGCAATATGTTGAATTTCTAGTAGTGACCCTAGTGTGGGTAATTGATGGGTGTTGCCATCAAGGGTTAGATTGACTATGAGTGTTTGCTATTTGGGTCAATTTTATGGTTTAATCTATGAATTGGAGGTTGCAAATACTGGTTTGTGCTAAGTTGACTTGGCTCTTCTTGAGAAAGAGAGCCTAGGTCTCCAAAATTGACCCAACAAGGAATTGGAATGGACTCGAGAGAATTGATAATCCCAATTAAAGAGTTAAATCTTGAGAGAGTAATTACCCAACTTAAACCCTAGTTGCTTGAGCTAATTTGCCTACCCATTTGGTCTCTCGAGAGTTAATTGGGCAAAATCACTCTCTCTACCGAGAGGTGTGAGAGTGGTAAAATTATGCAATGGTTATAACATATTTCCCCAATCATGTCAATCGAACCTTAGAAGCATTTACCCGTCAATTAGC